ACTTCCACCACTGTCACCACCACCAACCACACCACCTCCACCACCACCAATAATGACCACACCACCTCCACCACCACCACCAACCACACCTCCTCCACCACAGTCACCAACAACAACCATACCTCCTCCACCACCACCAACCACACCACCTCCAAGAACCATACCACCTCCTCCACCACCAACAACAACCACACCTCCTCTACCAACAACCACACCACCTCCACCAATAACAACCACATCACCTCCACCAACAACAACCACCACACCACCTCCACCAACAACAACCACACCACCTCTACTACCAACAACAACCACACCACCTCCACCACCACCCATAACGACCACACCTCCTCCACCATCATCTCTAACATCATCATCACCAACCACACCACCTCCACCACCACCACTTACATAACCACATACCACCACCGTCAATCACCCCTCCACCACTCCACCACCACCATCACTGGCCAGGTGCTGGGTAGAGTGCACTGAGCACTCAGGGCCTATGGGGAATAAGCTGCCCTGCAGGCCTTCCTAGATGTTCCCAGGCCACAGCAGTGGGCATCCCAAGGATCTCCACTGCGGGTGCACCTGGCAGAAGGCTTTTGTCCATTCCTCTGCGGAAGGGCTCAGGTAATGCACTGGGACAAGCTCAGTAGGGGCCCAGGCAAAGTCCTCAGGCCAGCCCTGGGGGCACAGAGGTCTCCACCCTCTCATGGGCAGCAGGGCCTTTCTCCAAAGTGGGGGTCTTTATCCTTCTCCTCAGTCCAGTTAACTGACTAGTTAGACAGGGGTGTCCCAGTCCCAGGGGAGCAAGGGGAGTAACTGTGACACCTGGAAGATGGAGGTGGGGAGGGAAGAGAGAGGACAGAACTCTATGGGTCAGCTCTTCATGTCCCCTGAGGGCTGCTCAGGGTCAAGCCCTGGCCAGGCTGGCATGGAGCATCAGACAGCATTTGTCTGGGCTTAGGCAGTGGCCAGAGGCTTCCTGGGCCCGGCCAGCACTTGGCATGGCCCTGGGAAGCTGGGAGCTCTGCAGATGGAGAACCACCGCTGGCCCTGGGCCAGCTTCCAGAGTGCACCTGCCAGCCTGCAGCGTCCCTGCCCCTGGTCACCAGTGACCCTACTCCCTCTGTCCAAGTCCGGCGGCCAGGACGAGGCTGAGTCTCCCTGGTCGTCTCTCTCGGCTGCTGCTCCCGCACACACACAACACACATGCAGAGAGTGCTCTGCAAGCAGGAACACTTGGTGGGTGGTCTAGGCTGCAGCCCCCACCCCGGCAGGGTACCCTGGCACCTTGCCACCTCTGTCCCTGGGCAGCGAGCCTGGCTTGAGCTGTCCCAGGATTGAGAGGGGCGTGAGGTGGAGGGTAGGCCCTGGCAGAGTTGCAGGGACTCTGGGCACTGGGAGGTGGCAGGCCGGCCCAAGGTGAGTCAGGGCAGCTGCTTCCCGCCCAGGAGGCAGGGGAGTTGGTGAATTGGTGATGCCTCATCCCGCCTGGCTTGGTCTCGGGAGCTTCCCAGACACAGGGTGACTCAGCAGGGAGGCAGCCGGGCCAGGAGAGAGGGTGCCCCACGGGACCCTGGCTCTGTGCTTCTCCAGCTCCCCGCCCAGGGCAGCCCAGCAGCTGAGGGGCCTCTCCCAGTCACAGCCTCCGAGGAAGGGTCTGTGAACGTGGGTGGGGAGGGGGCTTCTGAGTGCAGAGAGGAAGAGCAGGCCCTAGGTGCCTGGGAGCCAGGGACTTCCCAGACCACAGGCCTGGGATGGCCAGGGGCCCCAGCCAGACCACAGGCGTGTCCAGCCAGGGGAGGGGACTCAGGGCTGGGAAGGGAAGTGTGGCCTCCCTGCCCTGCTCCAGGGACCCTGGGGGGGCATGCCTGTTGGATGAGTGTGGCCGCCCAGCTGCAGCGCTCTGCCCCGCCCAGGCCCGCCCCAAGTCCCCCGGGCCTTCCCACCCCCGGCCCTCCCAGGGAAGCCCCGCCCACCCCTTCCTCCCCAGGATGGTGGGAAGCCACCGAGTCCAAAAGTCAGGTCTGGAGAAAAAATCGCTCCAGGACCTGGGCCTGGGAACCCTGCACCTTGAGCTCTCCCACACTTCAGGCAGGCAGGGGGCGGACAGAGTCCCCCAGGGCTTCGACCTAGGGAAACTGAGGCACAGCAGTGCTCTCCCCAGGCTCTGAGGGGCACAGGAAACAAACCAACTGCCCACAGCCCCAGGGGCCATCCGGTGGGCCTGCTCAGGAGGGCTGGGCCCCCAAGCCAGAGTCCAGGAGTGGAGTCTCATCATGTCTGCACCCAGGAGATGGATCTGGGTCCTGGGAGGGGCTCTTGCTAACCCTCTGTTCCTGTGCCACCCAGGAGGGGGTCCCACTGCTGGGGGACCTTGGGGGACAGCCCTGCAGGCCCACCAGCCCTCCACCCGGGCTCCACGAGGGAGGGAACATGCCAGGGACAGGCTGCAGATGGCTGCATGTCACTTCCTGCTATGGCAGGAGACCCACAGGGAGCCCCTGGAGACTAGGTGCCCCCGTGCTCCACACCAGCCTGTCTCCCAACTTGGGGACCCTCTAGGGGAGTCTCTTTACAACTGGCTTCTGTGAACCCATTAAGGCAGGGAGCCCTGCCCCAGAACCTGGTGGCTGAGGGGTAGTGCCAGGCGGGGCCATCTGTGGGGGACCAGCACTCCTTTCTCCTCTTCCTGCTGAGGAAGGCTGGTCCCCTGTCCCCACCACACAGCGGGCTCCATTTCACTAGAGTAGGTTCAAGAATGAGGCACAAGAAAGGAGCCACCGAGACCCACTGCCCTCCGCTTGAGGGTTTCTGGGACCCACTCTCCAGTGTCACAGCAGGTGTCCCTGCGCCCCAATCCCAGGCACAGGCAACCTTGGCACTGAGTCTGCTGTCAGAGCCTCAGAAGTCCCCACACAGAGCCTGTCCCCGGGAGACCTGGCCCATGAGGGCGGCCACTGCCAAGGGCTCTCACTGCCCAGCCAGCAGGCCCACACCTCAGGACACCTGGACAGGAGCACCCAGCCCTGCCGGTCCCCTCCACCCACACTGGCCCTCTCTGACAGGGTGATGTCCCACTGCCCTGGGCCTGCGAGCAGATTCTGCAGCCCTACCAGATGGGCACTCTCCTGGTGGGCAGCAAGCCCCCTTAGGGTGGGGACAAGGACTGCTGGCTCCATATGACTGCCCAGCCCCTGGGCAGCCTGGGACAGGGCATCTGCACCCGTATTGTCACCTCTAGCTTTAAGAACTTGGGTGGTGGCAGCATGCCCAACCAGCAGAGCCAGGGGCTGCCACCTCCCCAGCCCCCTCCTCCTGGTCAGGGGCCAACCCCATACAGAGCCGGTGCAGGGGCTGCCTGGGAGCCTGGTGCGCGGGGCCTGGCCAGGGCCAGAGCTTGGGCCAACTCTGGCCGGGAACTGGGCTGAAGGCTCCTTCCTGTCGGCCAAATCCTTGCCGACCGAGTGCGGTCCAGGAGGGGACGGCCAGAGCCCTATGCAGTGGAAAGGACTGAGGGGCTGAGCTCCTCTGGCCAGGACCCAGGACCCGGCGCCCATGGTGTCGACACCTCCTGCCGACTCAGGGCCACCAGGT